TAACTGTTGAATGTTTGGTGCTTGGGCTTTCATATTTACCTGGTTTATCCATTGGCACAAGTCCTTTCTTTTGATAACAACATTTTTAATCTCTTGATCTTGACCTTGGAATTTGATTTGAATTTGAGAAACTTTAACCTTCGCCATAAGCTGTCATACGGGGACATCAGTGTTTCACAAAATAAATCTTGTTTTCTTCCCTCCCCCCCCCCCCTCAATTTTGATTGTATGTAAACATTGTTCTCCTGTTTGTTACCTACTTCTGTAACGTACCTGTATTATACTGTAAATACTGATAAGCTGTTAAGCTAAAAGTAATAATGCATTAGTTCTTTGAAAATCTTCTTCTCTATTCCTGGGTATTATTGAAACAAATTAAATACATAGTTATGATAATCAAGGATGCCTCTTTCAAAATTGTGAAATTCGTGGCCCCTGGATCAGGGGTTCTGGTGTTAGGGCGGGACTCTATTGATTATAAAGTGAAAATGTTTTAATTTTTTAAAAAATCTTTTTCTCTGCACCTGGGTATTATTTAAACAAACTAAGTACATTGTTATGATAAGCAAGGATGCCTCTTCCAAAATTGTGAAATTCATGGCCCCAGGGACAGGAGTTCTGGTGCTAGGGCGGGGCTATATAGATCCTATAGTGAAGGTGAATTATTTCTTTGAAAATCTTCTTCTCTGCCCCTGGGTATTGTTTAAACAGACTAAAGTACATTGTTATGATACGCAAGGATGCCTCTTCCAAAATTGTGAATTTTATGACCCCAGGTTTAAGGGTTCGGGGGGGGGGGGGGCTTCTATTGATTATAAAGTGAAAAAGCAAAATTTCTTTGAAAATATTCTTTTCTTCTTCTGGTTAAAAAAGCAAAGAAGCTAAGTGTATAGTTATGATGAGCAAGTGTGCTTCTTCCAGAGTAGTGAATTTCATGACCCCTGGGTCAGATGTGCTGGTGTGAGGGTGGGGCTCTTGTTAATCTGAAAATGCATTAATTCTATTAAATAATCCTGTTTGCTCCTTAGTGTTAAGCAGATAAACAAAGTAATTAGTTATGATGAGCAAACATATGGTCCCAGGGTCAGAAGCTCTGGTGTTTCGGGGGGGGGGGGGGCTCTATTGATAATATAGTGAATCTGTAGTAAAAATGCATTATTTATTTAAAAATCTTCTCCGCACCTGGGCATATCTGAGGCAAACAGAGTAAAAGTTTTTATAAGGAAGGAATTTTTACCAGATTTTTGAACATCTGGACCATTTGGTCAAGTGTTCTTGTCCTGGCCAGGGCTCTATTAGTTTGTATTCTACTGAGAGGAGTTATTCCCCTTTTCCATTTACTTTTGATAATTTATCACTGTAAATAATGTACTTGAAAGGTAAATAGAATAAGAGAATTATGCAAAAACTTTTATTGCATAATACAAAAAGTACTTTCATAGTTTTAATGATCAGATAGACTTGTAAGTAGTAGATAAATAAAAATGAGACAAAAATAACTTGTCTTATTAAATATTCATCAAAGACCAAGAGAGGCCAATGTAAGAGATTTCAACAAAGGATTAAAATAGTACAGAAGCATTGATAATTTGTTAAAATACTGTATGGTGATAGTGTTAAATGGGGAACAGATTAGAACCTAATTTCTGAACTGTTAATGAATATTAAGACCAATTATTTTGTTGATCATGATCACCCTATCTTTCTTGCTTTTGGGCAACAAAGCTTCACCTTTCAGTTCATTTTATACTCTATGCATCCTTTAAATTGTTGTATCATACTCAGGTGATCATTAAGGCACTTGGGCCTCTTGTTTAATGTTGATTATGTTTACAGTTTACTTGTGGTCTAAGTATTTAAGGAATCACTGACTAGTTAGTAGAGTGTGCCAGGGAGTTGGAAACGTGGGATAATTTGCATAACGGGCGAAGCCCGTTATGCATAAATTATCCCACGTTTCCAGCTGTCGTTGATGTCCCTGGCATACTCTACTAACTAGACAGTGATTCCTTATATTTCCATTTCATTGTGAAATAAAATTGTAAATTTAGATTTTAAAAATGTAGACTAATATTTCCATTTCTATTTGTTTTCTCTGTGATAACTCTTTGAATGTTAGGAGAGTTGAAAATTTCTTGGCTTTGTATTTCTTCATTAGTTTTTTTCTGACATAAGTCCTATTAAGTGAAAAGTTAACAGATGCTCGACTGTCTCTGTAAACTTCAACTCTGCAGCCGAGATCATTCGGCAAAACTCGGCTGATTCCGTCACCTTTGTGATATGTAAGATGAAGTACATGTACGAATCAGCCGAGGTGTTACCGAGTGCTGCCGAGATAGAAAGACAATGCAAAACAAAGGAGAAAAGAATAAGTACAAGCTGTAAAGCTTGCATGCAATAAGGATCATTTCTGTTAACAATGAAAATATAGAAACTTTTTTTGGTAATTGCTTTAAAAAAAAAAAAAAAAACTAGCATGTTAATTACTGCCAATTTCCACTGTTCGTTTTGTCATATTTTTTTTACGATTGAAAATCTTGAAAAATTGTTAAGTCGTACGAAAATTAGAGCATCAGAAAATTATCTCCCATGCCTTGAACAGCATTTCAACCAATGAAATAATTGAAAATTTTCTCATCATGCAATTTCTACCAATCACAAAAGAGAGGAAGTGCATAGTCCGAAGACTGTAATATACTTCAACTCTGTATACCGTCTTCCAAGGAAGACGGTAATTAGGCCTTCTTAGCTCCTGACCTTTCGCTTGGCGAAATATGCATTCCGGTAGAATGATCAAGAAATCAACTCAACTAACTTTCAAAGAGTTATCACAGAGAAAACAAATAAAAATGGAAATATATTTATATCAATACATCTTTACAAAAAAATTATTAAATTCTTAATTCAGTCAGCAAATATACAGGACATAATTGCCGGAGTTACTTTTATCCTGGATACTTACTTTCTTTTTATAAATTCTGGAAATGAATGTCGGAAGTGTTAATAAAAAAAGCTGATTTTTGAGATGCAAAAATGAAAAAAAAGGATATATTTTTAATTTATTTTTTTTATCATGCTAAAATAAACCTCAATTATCATTTTAAATCTTATCCTCTCCTTACCATTGCTTACTGCATCATAAAATCAAATAGAATATAAACGATAACTTATATTATCTGATATATTACATGTATTTTGCGGCAACCGATCATGAATTATATCTTTACGTATCGAACAGATGAATAAATATTTTTCAGTCTTCCTAAGTCGGTTCATTACACAAATAATTATTTGCAATCTAAAATAATTACGAGTCTAACTCTGTTTCGAAAATATCAATTCCTAAATATTTTTCCAGTTTTTTTTTTTATGAAGAATCGTGCATTTGCATTATACAATCGTGATCGTTCGTGTATCGTGTAGAATCGTGTGCTTGAAGGATCCTTCGTGTAACAGGTTTTATAAAAACATTTTTGCGTTGTTGTGTTAATCGTTTGTGTACATGTAACGTAATCGTTCGTGTTTGTTGTCAACAATAACGATGCAGCCGCTGTACAGTAGAGAATATATATATATATATATATATATATATATATATATATATATATATATATATATATATATATATATATATATATATATATATATATATATATATATAGGGGACGACCATTTGATTCTGAAGGGGGAAGGGGGTATTATTTATTTTCATGTCAGTTAAGGGCAGATTATATATTTCCAAAATGATCAAGGAAAAATAATCCAAAACTCTATTTCGCGAGGGGATGCCAGCTGTGGACGTTTAATTTCAACATTTTCGAAGGAAGAACACCCCCCCCCCCCCCCGAATCAAATGGACGTCCCCCTTAGTGTCTTTAAATATTTTTCGTGTTGAGAGAACAAACTAAGCTGGTATAACTATTTTTTGATCCAATTGAACCTAGGCAACAGATTGTTTCAGAGGAAAGTGACAACCATTCTTTGACATACATGTGTACATATGTGATCAATTGATAGAATTTACTGGGGGCCGAAACTCAAGAGGGTCAAAACTCAAGAGGGTCAAATGGGTTTAAGGTCGAGAACACTCGATGACCATGTGTTGTTTAGCAGTGTACAAATTCGGACTGGTCAACTATTGTTCAAATTGGGATCCTAGCTTTATCGATTTCTGTGGTATCTCGTTCTTAAGAATTTTGTTTCAAATTCCAGGGTAAAATTATAAGAACATATAATAGTAAATACATGCATGTAGAATGATGGGGTGGGGAACATTTGATGTTAATTTAGTCTTGGGTTAGGCGGTACAGGTGTGTCATGAGCTGGAAAGTGAAAGTAGAGTTTTAATGGTACTTTTTAAAAAAACCCTCCCATATGTTAATTCTGTGTAGCGAAGGTTGAAAAATAGGTAAACCTATCCAAACTAAACTATTTTTAAAATAAATTTCTTAAATGCAATAAGATTTAGATATGTTTTTAAATGTGATCATATTTAATTTAATGTGATTAGACACATTTCTTTTCTTTTTTCTCTCAAAGGCGGATTTCTTGTTTCTTGATTTAATTGGTCTTAACTATGAAAATAATGACACATAATCCAGCGCGGAAAAATAAATATCAGGACCAGTCGATTTCCTTCACATAAAGACATGTATAATGATGATAATAGGTTCTCATTTATATGCGGGGGTCTGTGTTTTCTAAAGGGGGGGGGGGGTCCAAGGTAATACTTTACTTTTGTTTGATAACTGAGAAAATCCGTGCATGTGTTATTAAATTGAATATTTCCAATAGCCACTTTTGTATTCTCCGTTAGCAAGCCCCTGTGATCTAGGAAACAATTTCTGTAAGCGTAAAAATAGCTCTCTGTGTACATTCTAGGCCTATGTAGTTAAAAATTTTCCAGTCCTCAAAAGTAAATCATTCCAATTTTAAGATGTTGAGGAATTTTTTTTATATCTTTCTTTTAAGATTTTTTTTAGAAATTAGTCCACAAGTCAGTCATTAGCTTTGACAATGAGTTATATAACACAATACAACGAAGTTTGTAAGACGTACGACACAAGAAGACGAGCATCTGATGCCTTTGTCCTCAAATCCCTGATGGAGGATTTTACTGGAAAGAACGTTCATGTAAGACACTATATATATATACTGAAAAGAAATGGAAAGCAGGGAAAACTTTTGAAGGAAATTATATGCTATTTTTTGGAGGTATTTTCCAGTACTGTTATCTAATATTTAAACCCATCTTTAATCAACAAGTTACCAGAATCTCATTTGATTTTGACGGATAATTCATGAATTACTGAAATTCGTATAACGTACGAACCAAAAATGAAAATAAAAATTTTCAGTATCTCCCTCGCGCGTACATCTGCCACAATCTTGATTCTCCTCTGCATAGAGTTCATTTATCTTTTGCATATGAATATTTATTCAACCCTTCCAACAGGGCAGCCCCTAGTTGGTCGAGATTAGCTGGGCTATACCGACGCCTTATATCCCTAGCCTCCAGTTTCGATTAGAAAAAGATAGAATTTACGGACGCCAGTTGATTTGGTAAATGTGAATATTAATTTACGAGAAAGTCTTGACAAACTCAGGCGTACGAACACACGTGCACGAGTGTGAGTATCATCAACGTAAAATTGACAAGCTCACAGATTAAAATAGGGCGATGGGTTTCTTTCAGTCTAGAGTGAATGTAATGCTTACGATTGCTTGCTGTATTAAAATCGGTTTCAGTGGTAATACCGTGGCGATTACACAGGTGGTAAGATGAAAAGCCCCATTTTCCTATGACGTTGTAACGCGCCAACGTCACCGTTACGGTTGGTTGGAAACCATTTCTGTTCCTCTTTGACAGCGGATAAAATGTTATATGGTGGAAAAATTAATAACAAACTGCAAAGCAACAGATTGTTGCCTTTGTCTTCTAGATCTAATGGAACTTCCGTCAGCCGTACCATGATTACAAGAAATTCATATTGACTGTAAATGTGGAAAAAAAACGATATGTATACCTCCAGTCCATCAGTAGTAGTACTACAAAATCTGTAAACATACCTGACATCATCAATTTGCACGTGTTTTTGGCTTTTTTTTTTTTTTTTTTTTTTTACCAATTTTGAACACCGACTTCAGTGCACAGTAACCAAAATTTACCTCTGACCAATTTTCGTAATTTTGGGCCACTCTGTCAAAAATATTTCGCATACATGTACATGTATTATGTCCCTAAGTCTCATTTTCCTTTCAGTGTTTACACACACCCACCCACACACACACACATATATATATATATATATATATATATATATATATATATATATATATATATATATATATATATATATATATATATATATATATATATATATATATATATATCTCAAAAGTTGATATCATGTAATTTTTATATGACCTTCAACAGTGTAAGGATAATAAAAACCTTATTCCGCTCATTTAAAAGGAAAAATCAGTCCTACATCTAGAAATGATGTAATTTTTCTATTCAACACGAAACTTTTACGACTACATTTTCAAGCTTATGCACAGGATAAATGACACATGCGACATGAGTGCACGTGACATGCACTCATTTTATTGACACACAAACATACTCGGAAAAGCAGACAAGAAGATATGTACCGGTGCTGTAAAGTACGATTTTCCCCCATAGCCAGCTTTCCCCCCGAAATCTCTAGAATAGGATTTCCCCCGAGAGGAAATCTCACACTAGAGTCAAATTCCCTCCTCTTTGAAATTCTTTCTCAGAGTAGGTTTCCCCCTGTTTTATCAATGCTTAAATCATATCAGAAATGTTTGGCTAAAGGTTTATATGAAAGTCAACTGATTCTTTTATCGGAATATGAGTGTTTCGACTCAAGAATTGTCGAATTAAGTATGAAATCTTAAAATATGTACATGTAGTTCAAATCTTTGAGTCTCAACCCAAAATTTTAACTCATGGGAAATTGTAAAATTAGTCACTCGAAAAATTGTAAGACTCGATGTCTCAAGACCCTCTCTCGGCGCAGCGGTACGTGTTTGCTTTTAGATTTATATCGGGTTACTTTATGTGATAATTTGCTTGCCCTCTAAAGGCCCAGTATTTCATCTATGGATCCATCCTTTTTACAAAGAGTTTGTGAGAAAATTCTAAAAGTTATGTTACTGATAGGTTCCACATGCCATTCTGTTAGCATTAAAAATCGAGTATTTCTTCAAACAGTGAAAATGCTAAAACCATAAATTAAACAATACAAGAAACACTGCTTTGGCAAGCCGAAGCATAACTATGTCCCCTATATCCCAGCGATTTAATACTGGATTTGAAAGCAGAGAGCAAATGCTAGTTCTCTCTGAATGTGGTCTGGGGTTTCCATAGGGGAGATCCTACTTTAGAGTCATTTTTCCGGGGGGGGGGGGGTTAGATGGGAAAGCCCACTCTATAAGACTGGTATGCATGTACTCGCATTTATAAACGTGCAAGCAACCCTATTTTGTTTCAAGTTTGACGAAGGCAGAAACAGTCTTCGAAACGTTTTACTGTCCCATGCGAACGCTGAGCAAACGCAAGGAGCCAAAATGTGAACATTGGACAAACGCAAATAACAGTCTGAATATGGAGTAGTTAGAACAAGGCAGGGATTGTATGCAACATGTACATGTATTTCTAAATTCTAATTTTTCACATTGGCAGGACATGGATATTCTGGACGCTGGGTGCGGGACCGGAAACTACTCGCGTTATTTTCTGGATTACGAACCCCACAGTTTATCTCTTGTTGACGCCAGTGAAGGGATGCTTAACGTGGCAAGAGAGAAACTGCTGTCCAAATCTCAGAAGACCGAGCTTTGCTTTAAAACAGGAGTGCTTCCGAATATCCCGTTTGAAGATAATTCTTTTGATAGTGTTATGATGAATATGGTACTTGGACTTTGTTTTGTTTGTCTTTATTTTCTTATTCACGCCATTGTACGTCAAAAGGATGCCTTAATCAATATTCGATTTTCTTAATATACTGCTTAAAATTTATTTTTGAAATAAAAGCTATTTTTTTATCATTCTTTGAGATAACGACTATGTACTTGGCGATTTGTTATGCCCCCTTTAAAACTGGTAATTTTTTCTCAGACCTTTGTCCTTTATTTAATACAAATGCCCTGATAATTGATACGATCTTCACTATTATAAAATACGCTTGTATTTTTTCTACTGTTATATCAGGTACTGCATCATTTAGAGAAAAATCCTGATGGAAAATCGTATCCAAACACAGCTGAAACATTGAAAGAAGTTTATCGTGTTTTAAAACCAAGAGGTGTGTTGACTGTTATTACTTTGACCCCTGAGCAGGTAGAGGCCCACTGGTTTGGCCATTTGGTTCCAGGACCCTTGAAACAATACGCAAAGAAATTCCCATATCATAAGCAGATGAAGGAGATGTTGACCAATGCTGGGTTAACACTTAAGGTGGCTTACAACACCTTAACAACAGATTATCACCCTGGACACGACAATTTGGAGGGACCCTTACAAGAAGAATGGAGGAATGGTATATCATTTTGGGACACGTGCTCTGAGACAGAAATTCAAGACATGGTACAGAGAGTGAAGAAAATGAAGGAGGAGGGAACTCTGCGCGACTTTTATAACAATCACGAGAAAACACACATCTTCGGGGCGCTTCAAATTCTTGCCGCTCAAAAATAAAAGCTATAGTTTGTCGATGAGTATACATTGTAATATACTCTCTGAATTTAAATTAATCGATATATTGTATTTTGGCATTTTTGCTAATGAGTTACTCAGAAAGAACACAAATTATGTTTAAATTTATATATAATTTATTTTAGTATTATCCAATTGTTTTTGGTTTTTTAGGGCTGTATATTGTGTATTCGGAATAATTTGATGATAATCCTTGTGAAAATTCATCTGTCAATAAATTCTACGATGTACTCATAATTGGTCATTGGTCTGCAATAAATGTTAAAATTTTCATTTATTTCGTTTTTGTACGTGGGGTAATTGTAGGAATTAAGCAACTGAATGTTGTTTTGTTTTATTTTTATCCTTTAAGTTTTTATACCCCACACAACTAGTTGCGGAGGATATAATGTTTCTGACCTTCCGTCAGTCATCATTTCGTCCGTAACTTTGTAGTTAATAAAAGCATACTGTCTGACTCCATTTCATTTTTTCGGGTTATGCCCCCTTTTAATCTTAAAAGTTAGAAAAGAATTTTACCAAATCAACCGTACTGAGGGAACCAATGAGATTGCTTCGAGGTCACCTGACGGTCAGTGCTTTTAGGTTACTTTGTTTACAAAGACGTGCATCTTCATCTCTCTTTTAGTATCATTTACCTTTATTCTGATTTTTTGAAATGTATTATTAAGACTTGTGAGAAAGCTGCAGAAAAACATCTACTGAACTTTTTCCAAACAATGGCATAATTTCTGTATTTCACGCTCCGCAAGGCACTTCATCATTACCCAATTCTGGTTTGGAGAACACTTCCTCATTGACGTTCCTCAATAATATATAATTTTTCCTAATAATTTGTCATTGAAGTATTTCTACTTTAACAAGTTTCCTCGCAAAAAATTGAGGCACCTTACCAGGCATTTGTGGAAGGTAACGGAGGATGGTGTTTCCTATATAATCCTTTTGGAAAAGACTTGAATTGCTTATATAACAATTTTTTAGTCTTCATTTTTAAAAGATATTTTAAAAACAGTTTAGAAATAGCAAGATAACAATAATTATAAATATTTTTGGTAAATTACAGAGAGACTAAAAGCAAATATTTGAGGAACGTGTCGTCTGACCTTAACAGGTCAAGACCACTAGATTTTTTGACGTCAGCATAAATTTGCATGTAAATTACAGTAGCATCGTTATTCTTTACAATTCTATCGTGTCCTATCGTGCGTTTATCCTATCGTATCGTGCGTGTATCCTGTCGTATCGTGCGTGTATCCTATCGTATCGTGTTTTCCGTTTATCAGGTTTTGCGTTTTCTATCGTGTTTTCCGTTTATCAGGTTTTGCGTTTATCGTGAAGATCGTTTATCAGGTTCTATCGTGTATCGTGTTTTGCGTTTATCGTGTGCATTCGGAAACCCTCGCTTTTTACCTTTACCTTGAAAAGAAACACCCGAGATATTTCGAGTTCATCTTTCGTTTTGTTAATTTATTTAGGATTAATCTAACTGTTGAACAAAAAGAGAAATTAATACTCTAACTCTTGTATATTTTTTAAAGAAAATAAAATAAATAAATAAATAAATAAATAAATAAATAAATAAATAAATAAATAAATAAATAAATAAATAAATAAATAAATAAATAAATAAATAAATAAATAAACGTCAAGTACCGTCACCAAGCAGAGAGCATAAATCGAAAGTCAAATTCTATTTTGTACATGAAATAATCGATCTACTATTTGAATCATTCGTTTTTTTTTTTTTCTAAATTTGTCAATATGTAAGAAATATTTTTGTTAAAGATAAAATATTATAATCCCTTTACACATTCAGAGTCACAAAAGCGAGACCTTTATGAACTTCGTTTTGACAATTATAGAAAAATAAAACATTAGGTATGTGTGCAAAAAATAAATTATTAATAAACAAAAAAAAAAAAAAACAGTATCTTTATTAAGGCTATCATTTTATCAATAACGGAAACATAAATTTTGTCTTTGCGCGCAAGTTTTGTTGTTCCTTTGTATTATTATTTTTCTCTGATAAGTGTATATTATAACATAGATGTTTAATTTGCCATTCATATTTAACTACTGCATTTAGAAGATGTAAAAAATAAATATACAAAACCAAATAAATTTCTATTATACATCTTACCTACTTCGGCGCGGAGATGAAGTAATATACATTTGTATATCGTAACTTAGTGACAGGTGGAAGCGCTCCCGTGACAATAGAACTGACACCTAACTGCCTAATCCGTACACTGTCTTCTTGTCAAGTCAAGACACCCCCCCCCCTTTCTCCTACATGACCGGCCCGTGTGTATTCAACGTAGACATACCTGAACTATAGCTCTCACCTGGTGTCAAGTATTTATCTTGAACCCTACTGGGTTTCAGTGAAATGCATCTACTTATTTTCTGGATATTGTTCATAATTTTTATGAACAACACTTAATTAACAATTAAAGATTTTATACTAAGAAAATTGGTAAATGTACACTTCCGTTACAGATTAAAAATTGAATAATTGAATCAAATAAAATATAGGCGAGGTTTGTCCTCCAAACTCCGTTGATTTAGTTCATTTGTATATTTTTATGTAATTTTTATAGGTTAACAGTCATAAACATGATTGGTGTGATCAAATAAAAAAAAATGCGCTTGCGGTACTTCTGGATCTTAGGGTTTTCTGTGTTGTCTGTCGTTGTTACATGTAAAGGCGTCTCAAAGATACATGAAAAAAAATCGCCCGGTTCTGCGGTGATACACAAGACTGGTAAATACCTTGTATTTAATTTATTCGTGTTTATCGATTGCAAATAATACGTGACTATATTGAAGAATTCAATATATTTTTATTTTATTTTATTTTATTTTATTTTTTGGCTTTTTGAATCGGATTTTTTTTTAGGGGGGGGGGTGTTATGGACCCCCTCTTCCCCGCTGACTATGCCTCAAATGGGGTTAAGACTTTCATAATTTACAAAGTTTTGTCTAATTTTTGCCGATGTCGTCCTATATAAGATAAGTTTTGTAACAATTATTACAAAGTCTAATAGCAATAATTGACAATTATTCAATCCGAAAATCCACTTGTCAAATTGTGGAAATCGATTTATTATTTATTTTTTGTGTGTGTTCTAATATGTTGTAAACGAGTGTACGTAACCATTCAATGTTATTTAATACAAAGATTAAGTACCCAATAAATATATTCATATACATTGTAAGCTTAGTTTACACGTATCTATAGTAGATACAAATTCTGTTATTGTAAATGCTTATACATGTAACACAAGCACGCTAAGAAAGCAATATCATTTCTTCGGGGGCGGCCGGGGGGAGGGGTGGGGTCTAAAAAGAAATGTTTTAAAAAGCAAACAAAAATGGCTTAAGACATAATTATTGTCGATGGGCAATATTATATAAGCATTATATTACTACTGTATACTACACATGCTGGTACACTGTAACATTTTTTTTATTTATACAACTGCATGCTCCCTTCTAGCTTAATCTTACAGGCCTATAAAAATACCAAAATAAATACAAAAGAATGGAAATGCGATATTTTTTTTCGGATAATAGATAATGACAGATCTAGTGACGTTTACTAATTTTATTAAATTCGATTTTTTTCGCAGGTCTCCTTCCTCATATATACATATACAATATATGTACTTGGAATGTACTTGGAATATGTAAATAATTTCTATGTACACGGGATATGTGTGACATATACATGTATATCTATATATAGGAGAGATTAATTATTCACAGTCCAGTGCACGGTCTGTCTCAATGCAACTAGCAATTTCAGCAATTTTAAAACGTAAAAAATTAATTAATTTATATAAAATATAAATCAAATTCGTAAAAACTTGGAGGAGAAAGCAGTAACCTTAAAATAATTATAACAATAACTTTTCAATCCCCCCCCCCCAAATTATGACTAGTATTTTTTTTTTTTTTTTTTTTTTTTTTTTTTGTAAGATTTGAATTATTAAATACAAACAATTAAAGGCGATTTTGGATACTTCGCAGACTTCTAGCAAAAGATATTGAATCCAAATATTTCATTTTTTTTTTTACATGTTTTTCCGTAAAAATAATCAATGTTTATATGAATTTCATAAGGTTTTATTTGTTAAAATAATGAATATATTTATAGCGTTTCGTGAATTTATTGCACTTGGGTGTAAAACTTCGCTTGTCTACGAACTCAAAACTCAAATTTAACGATTCGAAGGAATTTCGACATTTGTATAATTACACAAAAAAATCGCCTAATTTCCATCATAGAGTGGAATTATTCTTAAAATAATTACAGTTTGAATTTGAAGACGATCAATTTTATTGACAAAAACACCATATCTTTTACAAAGCATAATTACTTCAAATGTTTTATCATGATAAATTTAAAATGTTTTATCATTTCGATTTGCGGCTTTGTAAGTAATTAAAATTATCATACTATAGTATATGAAAAAGAAAACTTTTCGTCTTGTCAAAAAACGTTTCGCATTTTGAATCAATCCTATCAGGTTTTGCGTTTATCCTATCGTGAAGATCGTTTATCAGGTCTATCGTGTTTTGCGTTTATCGTATTTTGCGTTTATCGTGTTTTGCGTTTATCCTATCGTGCGTGTATCCTATCGTATCGTGCGTGTATCCTATCGTATCGTGTATCCTGTAAAGAATAACGATGCGGGTACTGTACTTTACCCACTGATGAATGAGTCGCAATGCATTATGGGCTACTACAAGTACTTAGTTTTGTTGAAAAGAAAGGGCAACTTGAATTGTCCCTTGGAAACTCATTTTCAATTCTTTTTTGAGATTTATGAACAGAAATATTAAAAATGATGTATAATCTTTCATTTCTATGCTCACATTTACAAAATTTGATTTATGAAGCCTTATATCAACTTAAAATACATCGGCCTAAACCATTGTTCAGGAGACGTAGGTGCTATCGTGTCGATAAAGCATTGAGAGTTTTTTTTTTTCATGTGATATACGTGTACATAGTTTTAAACAGCAGTACAAGGTGCGCAGTTATTATTTAACCCCTCAATATTTTCAAAATGTTTTATGTACATGCAAACGTCAAAGCGTTTACTAGTAAGGAATTTGAAGCAACTATTAATCATCTAAAACAACTTCAATATTAAATGTGAGCATGGAGCAGTGTCTTTGGAATATAATCTTTCAATTTCAGCATTATGAAGTAAAAAAGAAGCTCTACGGTTTTTCCAGTGACGAAGTAAATATTATGCAGTAAACCGATGAAAACCACGTGTCGCTATTATATCGTAAACACGTAGTAGACTGTCATGCTTTGGGACTCATTCAATTGATTGGAGAACGGGTGTGACGAAAACATCGTCACGTGTTGAAAATTGTCTTCCATATAAGGTAGTGTACCCGACCTGATTAAGTCGTCCTTGGAGACCAGGGGCCCGTTTCACAAAGCCTACTTAGGACTAAGTTATATCTTAGGAAAGAACTTTTTCCTAAGTTCATTACTTATCCGTTTCACTAAACTATTCATATCTTATGAAATTCCTAAGTTGTGTCTTAACTTTAGGAGAGGTAAATCGATGTCTTAAGAACAGACTAAATATGGCGGCTACTTATGTTATTATAAATCATAGGAATCTCTTTCGACGAGAAAGAATATTTCGAGACAGAAATGATCCAATGGATTATATGAATGATCATGAGATTATCTCAAAGTTTAGACTCCCTTGCCATTTGATTCAGGATATCAGTGGGGAGATCGAAAACGATATCAGAAGGTCTACAAGAAGATCACACTCACTTTCACCATCCCTCCAAGTCATGGCTGCTTTACGGTTTTTAGCCACGGGGAGTTTCCAAACGGTTACTGCTGACTTGCATGGTATAAGTAAAGCAAGCATATCAAGAATCGTTAGGGATGTGTCTGAATCCTTAGTAAAAATCAGTCCAAGATATATAAAAATGCCTACTGATGAGACTGCAATTACAAATACTATGTTCCATTTCTCAAGAATACGTGGATTTCCAAATGTTATTGGTGCGATAGACGGAACACATGTTGGAATTAAGTCTCCGAGTTTTGAAGAAAATGTCTTCGTGAACAGGAAAAATTATCATTCAATTAACACCATGGCTGTGTGTGATACCAATTTAAAGTTTCTCAATGTAGTAGCAAAATGGCCAGGGTCATCACATGACTCATTTGTTTGGAACAATTCTAAACTTTGTCAAGTTTTAGAAAACAAGATAATTTCAAGAGGGTGGCTTTTAGGTGACAGTGGTATCCACTTAAACCATATTTACTCACACCTGTTCTAAACCCAACCACCGCTAAAGAAAATGCCTACAATAATGCTCATATGAAAACAAGAAACGTCATTGAAAGATGTTTTGGTGTATGGAAAATGCGATTTCGTTGTGTGGACACATCAGGTGGTGCACTTCAGTTTTCACCTAAAAGAACCTGCAATATTATAGTTGCAACAGCAGTTCTGCATAATATATGCATTGACAATAAAGTCCCAGACCCAGTTGGAAGGGCCGTTATTAATGACGGAAACGACAATGTGTATCGTGGGACATTGAATGACGGAACAGAAGTTAGAAGACAATTGATTGACGCAAGATTTTAAGCAACAATTTCTTCTATTCTTATATGTACATCAACTCATATAGAGTAACCTGTGACAAGTATTGCGTGTAAAATGTGCAAATTTTATCAATAAGAATAAAAAGATAAAAAATAAATATTTATTGTTGAGAAGTGATAGTGGCATTGGAAATAATGCCCAGCTGACAGAGTTTTATGCTGTGTTTCTCCTGTTCTAGCTGTAATCTTGTCCTTTCTATAGCAAGCCTTTGTTCCTCGACTTCTAGTCTTTTCATTTCCACATCAAGTCTCTTCTTTTCTATCTACAGTCTTTCCTTTTCAACATCAATTAAATCCAGCGAAGGCATTTTAACGTCTACCTTACGTTTCTTTGCTGTTGATAAATGATCAGGAATTATATATACGAGGGCTGTTCGAAAATTATTGAGACAATTACTTTAACTCCATAAAGGTCGGAGATAATTTCAGGAAAATTCGTCAACATTTTATAAAGAACGAATAAAACAATTATACAAAATTTCTAATTTAAAGGATAACTAGATAAGTTCCGTTGGAATAATAAATAGAGGATATTCAATGTTTTGTAGATGAATATGCAATTTATTTCACGAGTGGGACAGGATTTTTTGATATTTTCACGAGTGCGAAGCACGAGTGAAAATATCAAAAAATCCTGTCTCACGAGTGAAATAAATTCCATATTCATCTATAAAACATTGAATTTTCTGTTTATTACATTTTCTTTCATTTTCTCTTTGCCTCTGTCTTTTCTTAACACAGTGTCATAGGCTTGACGTCATAGTTGAGCGGTTGAGACGTCATAGCTTAGAAGTTGTGTGTCAGATTGAAAACATTACATAGCATGGATTTTAGCAACATATTTAGGAAGAAAATTGTAGTTTTAGCTCTATCAAGATGCTTCTAAAGTTACTATCTCTATTTTATGACAGGCCAGAAATTATTTTTTACTTACTTTGATATCCTTTCACACTGTGAGAGAATATCATTTTTGGTATTCTTTCACACTGTGAGAGAATATCACTTTTATTCAATAAATAAATCACAGTATTTCACTGTTGAAAATGTAATAAACATGCATATGTCTATCGTCCTGGAGCAGCATCGCTACGTCATTTTAACTTCACGTCAGTCGGAGATGATTTTGCATGTGAAACGATCGGGAAGTGTTTACTCTTCTTTCTTTGTTATCATAATTATATACCATACAAAAATCAAACTGTCTCTTTTCTTAAAGGATTCTTTAAAAAATGTGTGCTATTGCTTCACTATTGTACATTTTTCATGCATCATTTATACAGGATGACAACGCGGGTCAACGTTATTAATTCCGTTACGGTAAAAATTGATGGTAGTCCGGGGCTTTTGATTTTACTGTAGTTGAATTATAGGTTAGAAAAAAATATATACCAATGAAATACATGTAACAAACCCTTAGACATGTTTTCTTTTCTAGTTGTTATTGTTTTAGCAGGTTGGTCAGTCTGGAAAGGAGTTTTACACAGCGCTACACAAAATTTTAGATCTCTCGCTGCGCCGCCTTGACGTCAAAATCCATTTTGTCGTCGTTATCAGATTTCTTTACCGCGTTTAATTTTTTTAATGATCTCCGTATTTCTAATCAGTATTCTAACAAACTTGCACAACTTGAAGTCAAAATAAAATAAAAAAATTATATACATAAATTGAATTATTTTCGCTCTTATTATGGGTCCACCGGGGTGTTGAACATTGGTGTTACTTATTTTCAATATCTGATTTCCACGGCCAGGAACACGTTAAGTTCCTTTACAGTACCGTTGTCAGAGACCTTTAAAGTTAAGCACTAAAATTGGTTCGTTGTCATGACCTCACAGGTGAGGTTAAGATAATGTCCGTCCGGTGTCATTCAAAATACATGTATACAAGAATTTTTACCGAATGCATAAAAAAATCATGTTTTTGTTCAATTTCAAAAATACATTTAAGTATTGGGAAACAGATAGAGCATTCAGTATTCATGACAAAAAATCATGTCTCTGTTACCCTTTATATATTCCGAGTAGTTTTGATTGCCGAATACATACCATGGTGTAAAAGCATGGATGTGCGGTGAAAAAAATATATTTTTCGTCATCAATTTATGTAAAAAGCACTTTAATTTCTTAGATTGAAAAGTAGCTCTATTTTCATTTCATAAGGCATATTACAGTCTTTTGCAGAACGCAAAATATATGAGAACTTAACAATTATAAGCAAATTGTCCGTTGTCAGTATATGTTAAGTTGATATGGTCCGGTGGCACTTGTCTTAGCATGTAAGTCTGTCTATGAAATGGTGCGGAAATGATCAGATGTATTTATTCTTTAGGCACATAATATCGGGAGAGGGGATGGTCCCCAACTTAAACTTATACCGTTTATTTAATTAGTATGGAAGTATTCTTTGAAAGGTCAGTTGCCCCAACCCTCCTCCCCTCGCTTTTCATTTCAGTAGAGTCAATTCTCTCGTCCAAGAAGTTGGAAATTAAGCCACCCCTAAATAGGACTTTCTTCTCTCTGTGTAGTTTGTCAAAGAAATTTCAGGTCAATTACCAATTACTGTTCTAGCCCCTCCCCCACCTTTCAAAAGCGATGCCTTATGCATGTAGAGAGAACAGATTTAAGCAAATATCATGATGATTGTAGTAAGAAATTCAAATTTTGTTTGTTGTCCGAAAGCAGCTCAAATTTCAACAATTTGAAATTAAAAAAAAATGCAATAAAGTAATTTCAATTCCAAGTCTACTAGATACGTGCATGTATTTTGGTGTGCATATCAGCAGTACCAAATAAAAATCATAATAGACATACTGAATAGTATGCTTTTTATTTTACTATTCGTAAAAATTAAAGATAATTTTATGAGTTACAAAAGTGAAATATGATCAGCTGTACACGATGCCAACGTCTGTTGTTTGGCTGCTTGCTTGCTTCATGTCCCTTGAACACAACTGACTGCCTATTATGGGATGCTTTAGATCTGTACTCGGCACTTGTGGACATAGAACAGAAAAAAAGATTTATTTCGTACCGACATCTGACTAATATGATATAGGACTTATACCGGTCTTGACTTCCGCGTTGAGATTCGAACCAGTGACGTAAGGATCAATTCTCTTGCTCCTCCACACTAGAGTGAAATGCACTGCATGCGCTTCGTGCTGCTAATGTGTTCACCCTTAAAAGTCTAACTTTGAAGCTCTGTAAATCTTAAATTACTTTGTCATTAAATCGTCCACCCATTAATATATTCAATTATTTTGTTTTGTAATGAGATTGATCCTTTGAATTTAATATGAATTATCAAGGTTTTCTCATAGAAACAATTATAGAAGAATAAGTGCCATGTTATCGATGAAACATGCTTTTAAATTTTCTATTATCAGCACTTGTTCGAAACCTACGGCGCCGTTCGAGGGCCAGATAAAAAAAATATTTATTTGTTCGGACGAATAAGATATTTGTTTGGACAAATTAGATATTCATTCGGACAAATTAGATATTTGTTCGGACAAATTAGAAATTTGTTCGGACAAATTACATATTCGTTCGGCGAAATGATACATGTATGACCGGTTTTCCTTTCCAACATCTTTTCCCTCTGTTTTCAGTTATAAGTGATAAATAGATTGCGTTAAACAGTAGTTTACCAATGTTGTATACTGTGCAATTCTGACAACGGACCGATGACAACGGACTGAATTTTCGTAACTTGTCATGACAACGGACATAATTTGAATTATAGCAAAAATTTCCAGTTTTACTTTGCTTTGAATTTTATTTCAGGGGCTAACAATACCTCATAATATTAACTGTACCTAGTGTTGGATATTGTTTATTGTATAAAAGAAAAATATGTTCATTTCAAAGAAAATTTAAACAAATCAAAATAAGTTTCAAGCAGGGTGGTGTATCGCCAACGCAAACTACTGTAATATAACCTGTTAATATCTGACGTTATTGATGCACCAACAAATATATTGTCAGTTCTGTTTCCCATTACAATTTGAGGGATTATAATCAATTAACTCACTTGGAAAATGAAATTAAACTAATTATTAGTTCTCTGAAGTTATGACACCGGACGGATATCATCTTAACCTCACCTGTGAGGTCATGACAACGAACCAATTTTAGTACTTAACTTCAAAGGTCTCTGACAACGGTACTGTAAAGGAACTTTACGTGTTCCTGGCCGTGATTTCCTGACTGCGGCGGGTACCTCTACCATTGACACATTTATATACCATTGAAGAGAAAAAAAAATTAATATTTGTAAAATATTTCTTGCTTTTATGAATTCTTAATGTTTGTCAAACGTATATGCAAATTTTCACCGAAAGACGTTCATTAGAAAGAAAAATATACAAAATGTCTCAATAATTTCCGAACAGCCCTCGTACCTGTATATTTAACATACATGTTGTAACAATACACCTAATTAAGAAAAATAAATCTCATATTTCAAAGAGACTGCCTATTAACTTCTGCATACGAATTAATTTTTACCTCGCAGTTTTTTGTTTTGTTTTGGTTTGTTTGTTTGTTTGTTTTTTTTTGAAAGGGGGGGGGGGATCCCGTTTGGTCGTAAAGGTTTTATATAAATGGTTTAAGATATGTCTTAGGAAAAAAAATAAGATAAGAAAGTTTTGTGAAACAGCTATGACAAAACTTAGGAACATCCTAAGTTGTAACTTAGGCATATCATAAGTTGTATCTTAGGAAATATCTTAGGAAATCTTTGTGAAACGGGCCCCAGGTCTTCCAACAAACTGTTGACATTTTCGATGGGCAATAATTGTGCTCCTTTATTGGCCGACATGTTTTATATATTCCTATGAAAGAGAATTTATTTGAAAACTTCTACATGAGAAGAAATCACTTGCTGAGGCCTTCAACTCGACATTTAGATATATTCTGCCAACACCTGAATAGCGTGTATACGTCTAGTAGACAAGATATTCGATACTCAAGAGCACGCTCTGAGTATGATTTATTTTTAAACCTAGGCAGGAAACTGACAGAAAAGTTCATGTTACAGGGATTTTAACAACCTTGTTTAAAGTCAGCGTTTCGTAAATTCTATGGTCGTTATAATGACCTTGTTGGCAAATATGACATATAATTGGGTCGGTATTTGGCTGACGCGTTTAATATAATTTGTAAGACCTTTGTTTTTGCATTTAATTTGACTACGTATTGTTTCGTCTAACTGATCAATCCATAGGGCTCATAGCGGGTGTGACCGGTCAACAGGGGATGCTTATTCCCTCTAGGCATCTGATCCCACCTCTGGAATTTCCGAGGGTCCGTGTTTTGTGCCCTTTTCACAGATTTGTATATTGTTCGTAGGTATTTTGAGATCGATCACGGTTCTTTTTTTTTTCTTTGTCTTTTTTCATTATGTGAGCTTGCTCGCTTTTTCTTTCATAATCAATGATTGAATCGATCAAACAGTGCGAAAAGTGCAGTTTGATGATTGCAATCACACCAATGAAAATTTGAAGAGCATTTTGAAAATGTTCTTTTAATATAAATTCTCTGAACTGTAATTTTTCTAGGATTGATATGAGCAATTGTTTATTAGTTCCCCCTCCCCTCCCTCTTCAAAGCATACTTTATAAATTTATTAAAACTATTGAAGTAAAACTACTTTAAAAAGATTACCAACTGAGACTATGATTTGGATTGCATTTGTGGAAATGTGACTGTCGAGGGCTAGAACTATGGGCCTACTGGGGAAGTTGGTTTTACATGTTTCACACCACGACGCAAGAAACACTTATCAATTAACTATCAAACTAATATTGCACCGTCACGGTAGCTCAGTCGGTAGAGCGCTCGCTCCGTGATCGCAAGGTCGTGTGTTCGAATCACGGCCGCGACTGACCTAAGTTGATAAAAATAGGTAGCAAAAAATATAGAGATAACGAACAGTATTCAAGCTCAAATTCCATTCAAGCAATACAAATCGGGAGCAGAGCAAAGACGGACCTCAAAAACAGAGGTGGGATCAGGTGCGATGGAGGAGTGAGCATCCCCTGCCGACCGGTCACACCCGCCGTGTGCTATTTGTCATGATAGTTAAAAAACGGAAAAATCCGTCGACAATTCAGTGTGTAAATAATGGCCTAACAATTAGTATGAAAAACGTCAGTCAGCATATGACATAATTATAGATTTTATTTGCTGACAAGGTCATTGTATCGACCATAGAACTTACGAAAAGATGACTTTAAACGAGACTGTTCATATTCTTGTTTCGTCAACTTGTTTGTCAATAACTTATCTCGTTTTAGAAATTGTTCGTACGTAGAGCATGCTCTTGCTTATCGAATCAACTGAGAGATACACAGCAACTGTTCCTTCGCCAAGTGCTCGGCACTTTGGAGTGAAAGTTGCGGGTCTTTCGGATGAGACCTTAAAAATCGAGGTCCCACGTCACGGTAGGCGTTGGCACGATAAAGAACCCTCACTGCTCAATGACCCTGAGTGCCGAGTAAAGGTCTAAATTTGAAGCCCTTCACCGGTATATGGTGACGTCTCTATATGAGTGAAAAATCTCTAACGGGACGTAAAACAACGCACAATTTATCAATCAAATATTGCAGGCACTGCAGAAAAAGATTCATGAGACTTAGAATAATAATTAATAAAAAAGGGGTGCTGTTTAATTTGTAACGCCACACCTGCACATGACAAGAAGTCCCTATGCTGTTGTATATCGGAAGGAAGCATATGGACACAAATATGTAAATGCTCTAACAAATTCGTGTGTTTGGATGATAGCATCGCTTTTGTCAGGAAGTCGATTAGGGAAAGGGGTAGATGTAGGAAGCTTGTTTGTGCGTTTTTGTTTTGAGCATTGTAACAGAACACAAGTATTTCTTTTTGTACATTGCATTACACGCAATCTCAGCTTACGAAAGCAGAATTTCACAAGATATTTGTTAAGGATTGAATGCAGAACTTTTAGCTCAAAGGTAAAAAATAAAGGTGTTAAATTGACAATATGTGTGTTGAAATCCGTTTTTACATATTTTCTCCAAACTTTATCTCCTAAATACTCTATGGAAATCAGTATGACTTTTAAAAAAATTTTGTTAGAAGCAGTCAATAATACATGGTTTGAAGCATATTGCATGTGAATATATTTAGATTTAGTATGAATGCAACATTGTCTTTAATATTTGAAAAATTTAATATGTAAAACTACAGAATATGGATTCCGAAGACAAAAAAGCTTTTGAAGTCAATGCCCGAGTTTTCTCTGGTGGTCTGAGTAAAGAACAGGTTATCGATTACTACAACAAATGGGACGATTACGAGGCAGTAAGTATGGATTTAATACATGGAATTTATACGTACAAATATCTTAGAATTAAATTGATTAAATTAAATTGTAAATCGACATATGCAGTATACGTCTTGATCCCAATTCAGATGTAATTTGGTAAAGGTTTTAATTAAAGGAAGTAGTTTCATGAGCCTTATTCTGAATTCAAAAATAGGACAGTCCTGTCCTCCTCAAAACCAGATTATTGAATATACTCATTAGGCAGGATAAATAAGATCATATACATCTTTCTGAAAATTATTGGCGAGGATACTAGCACTCGAGAATGAGAATCTAGAACAGTGCCACAAATGCTAAAATGAGTGACACGAAAAATCAGTGTAACATATCGGATTTCAATTCTGATCACTTTTTGGACACTAAAAAATAGCTATGAGGGCTCATGTTCATCTTTTTATTGACTTTAAAGAAAATCAAAGAAAGTTTTCATTCAAGTTAGAAGTCTATCCAATATTGGCTGAAATATAGTATATATATTCTATTTACTACATGTATATACTATAATATAGTATCAGAATATCATCACTTATTGACGACATATGCAGTATACGTCTTGATCCCAATTCAGATGTAATTTGGTAAAGGTTTTAATTAAGGAGGTTTGATCCTGAGTTTTTGAGCAGATTTTGATCTGGACCTTTATTTATAAAATTCTGCATCATTTTTAAGTTCAAACATTAAATCTGAATTCTACAATGCAAATTAAACTATATCCAATGAAAAAACCATTCAAAGAGGATTAAGCCAGGAACTATATTTTGTGGCGGAAGGTTTTTTAGTAGAAAATGATCATTTTGTCCCCTTTTGAAATATATACAGTACTGTTAAGTTTAGATTCCTATTTTTTCACGCTGGTTGCACACAGTGCGGTTTTTTGCAGTGAAATGTTTTATTCTGGTTCTGAAATATCTATTAAATTATTTCTTATGAATTCTTTCATTATATTGTGACAAATATAGTAAATATATTCTGAAACTCCAGGAAAAAAATTTGCCAATTTTAACATAAAATTAACATCTTTTTAGTAATATCTAAAAAATTACATCATAGACCCCCACTTTTGTTTTTATTTTCTGAATATATAAGATAACTTTGATCAATCTGCCTAAATTCAGAAAAAGTTTAAGACTTTAAAATAATTTTCTTGCTTGTTAAATTTTTAATGCCAGAAAAATCACATTTTTTGAGTGCAGAAAGGTCAAATAATTGATTATGTGAAGCAATTTGAAACTTTTTCTTAATCATAATTTTGAAGTGTCTTTTTTTAAATAGACTAATAGTTTAATTTGTCCCATGATTTATTTGGATAAAAACATTGGAGGGAAAACGTCGAAGATGTGATTTTTGATTAAGACACAAATTTCAGTGCAAAAAGGTCATATTAAATGTACTGTAGCGCCAAAAGAAGCGTGTTGACCCCCATTTTTTGTTTTGATTTTTAATTAAGCTATGTGTGTAGAAACTAAAAAATTAATATACTTGACAAAAAAAGTTTAAGACTTTAAATATCAGGATCCAACCTCGTTAAAGGAAGTAGTTTCATGAGCCTTATTCTGAATTAAAAAATAGGACAGTCCTGTCCTCCTCAAAACAAGATTATATCAAGATGTAATTTTCAATAAAAATATTGATAAATTTCATCACTTTTTTAATTTTTAACTTGTAATATTCTCATCACAAACTTCTAACCTTTATATATGACCCAGTTTCAGCTTGCTCTCTCTCTCTCTCTCTCTCTCTCTCATTTTTTAAAAATGTTATTTAGCACCTGCAGCCTGGTAGGTACAATGGACCAGCATACGCTGCTGAAGCCGTTGACAGAAGCTTTCCAAGCAACAAAGATACGATTGAAATCTTAGACGTGGCAGCAGGCACCGGTTTGGTAGGCGAGGAGGTAACAATTTAAGAGATTACATTTTTCAAGGATCTTAATTTCTGTAGCATTTCCTTTTTCAAAGTAACTAAATCTTCACATCAATCATAAGGTTAAGGTAGCTTTTGAACACGGACATTAGATTGAAATGGATTTGTTTGCTAAGTACTCATTTTCACAAAAAATATTTCGATTCTTAATTTGCCTTCCTTGGATCATTCAAGGGTTAATGGCTCGAAATTAGAAAAAAAAATCTATATAACTCAAGACATTAGGAGTGGGCTAAAAATGATCGTTTTTTGTGACAGAGTTTATACTTCTACTGCGATCTTTTATCGGCAGAAAAATGGGCAAAAATACCATGGATTATGAAGATAACGAACAGTAAAAAGGGTCGCCCGAGTGGCACAGTCGTTAGAGTGTTCGCTGTAGAGTCGTGGAGTAAGGAGTTGATCCTTTCGTCGCGGGTTCGAATCCCACTGTGGGACGTGGAGACGGGTACTTCGGATGAGACCGTATAAAGCGACGTCCCGTGTCGCAGTAGGTGCTGGCACGAAAAAGATCCCTCAATGCTTAATGGCCCTAAGTGTCGAGTATAGGTCAAAATTTGATACTCTCCACCGGCAAGTGATGGCGTCTCCATTTGAGTGGAAAATTATCAAGAGGGACTTTAAACAATAAACAAACAGTAAAAAGGTTCACAAGTCCATTAAAACAATTCAAATTGGGATCGGAGTAAATACGGACCTCTAAAACATCAGAGGTGGGATCGGATACCATAGAGGAGAAAGGATCCTCTGTCGACCCGTCACACCGGCCGTGTGCTCCTTGTCATGGTATTCTGTATGGAAAAATCCGTACACAATTCAGTGTGAACATAATGGCCGAACAATTTGTATGAAAAACATCAGCCAACCTTTGACTTAACGATAGATTGTATTTGCTAGCAAGGCCATTGTATCGACCTTAGAATTTGCAAAAATTTTGACTTTAAACGAAACTGTTATTATCCTTGTACCATCAACTTATTTAGCAATAGCTTGCCTCGTTTTTCATACACAGAACATGCCTCTTGCGTATTGAATCAAACGGGGGACATAAGAAAGAGATTTCATCTTTAAATGTAGATGTTTTGGAATAAATTCTGCTTCATATAAATACAATATAGGGGAAAAAACATAAAAATCTTCTCAAGAGCAGCAAACTATGATTAGTCATATTGATATGGACATATCTTCAGGTAGTGTAGATTCAAGTTTAAATTATTCAATTTCTTTTGCAGGAGTAAAATAAATGTTTGTTTACAGCATTGGGTCAGAAGATACTTCACAAGCTGTGTATCAAAAACCTCTTTTTATCAAATTTATAGTTGGTCAAGAAAGGTTTCAAGAGATTCCACGCTTTGGATCCAAGTGAAAACATGCTCCGAAAAGCAAGGATGAAAAATATATATGAGAAGTTTTTCTGCGAGTTTCTGTCTGTAGAGCCATCCCCAAACATCAGTAACGGTAAAATACGTTAAGCCAAAACTTCCCACAAACTATTTGATAGTTCACATTTTAAAGAATTTAATATGTATTCTAACATATACTAGAATTTAAATTTTATATAAATGACATTATCAAAAATGTTTAACTTACGGACTGTGAATCACTTTAAGGTACATATCCATGTGTTGTTTGTTCTGGAGGGTTTGGAAGTGGTCATATACCTTCAGATGGGTTACTAGAAATGATCCGAATCACAAAACCAGGTCAGTATACAAATATAAACAATTATATCAAAAATTTCAGAAACTTTTAAGCACTATTATAACTATTTTTATAAGTTCAATAACAATTTTATAAAGTGAATTAGCTTGGATGGTTTCACAAAAAGAAGTGTATGTTTAGATTGCCTATCTACCATTCAAACACAGATTCCAATTCAAAACACAGGTAAAGCCGATATAGATTTAACATGCATACTTTGCCTTTCATTGTACAGGTGGAATGATAATTATCGTGATGAGGGAAGAATACTTAAATATACCAGAGTACTGCAACAGCCTAGAACCTCTGATGAAAAAATATGAAAAAGAAGGATTGTGGGTGTGTGTAGAGAAATCTATTGTTCACAAGTATTTCTGTGACAAAACTGGAATCATCTTCCGCTTCCAAGTAAATCAAAATTCTCAGTGAAGACCAGCACCAGGAATGAACCTCTTACAGATAAACTGAAATTATTTTTCAAATATTTAATGAATTTAAGAAATTAATTTATTGCAATTGTTTAAGCATGCTCTTTTTTGTCCGCGTCGTTTCGATTTATGAATATTCATACGACATATTTGACTTTGTCTAAGTTTGTGTTATAAATAAGAAGCCAAGATGCAAAGATTTAAAAAATAACATATTTTAAATTCGTAGGAAATTTTAATATTTTTGGCTTATCATGTATTTTTATCGTATTTTCTTTTTTGCGTATGTAAAGCAAGTACTTTTTTTTTTATACACAAACACAAAGTTGGAATTCTTGTAATTGAATGGACTTGAACTAACATTTTTATGAACACTAATTGTAGCAAATTGTAGAACCAGGCGTAAATCTAAAATATATTTGTCCTCCTTTCTTCAAAACACCTCATGTCTGATAAAGATTTCAATATGAGTATTATTCAATTTAAAACTTCTGTCAGAAGCTATGTGTGTCATTACCATATCCACTTCCTTCCAGTGTAACCAGTGGATTGTTGTTAAATTGGGATGACACGTTTTATTGTGTGTATTTCAATGGTGATAAATACTTCTCACATCAAGCTATTTTTATGCCTCTGCAATCAAATATTTGGCGGCATATACGAGTAGTTTTTGATCTGTCCGTCCGTCTGTCTGTCTGCGAAAACATTAACCTCTGCCATATCTCGTGAACGGTTTGCGTTAAGGTTCTCATATTTCACATATTTATTCCTTGTGACAATTAAGACCTTTTTCGTTAAATTTATGTAAAATTTTGCTAAGTAAATTTATTCTACCTCTTTACCTTGGATTTTGACCTACATTTGAAAAACTTTAACCTTGGTCATGGTTGGTGCTAGGACTTTCATATTTCACATGTGTATTCCTTGTGACAAGACCTGTTTTTGGGTACCATTAATTTTAACTTCATTATATTGATCTTAGGTTTTTATCTACGTTTGAAAAACTTTAACGTTTGCCATATTTTCTGAATGGTTAAATGATACGACTTTCTTATTTCATATATTCCAAAAACTCCAAAGAATTTTTAGAAAATTTTAAATGTTGGAATTTCGATGAGCATTAATTTGCTCCTTTATTAGCCGACCTGTTTTTACATTCCATCTAAACGAGAAAAAGAAAACACTTTCTGTGGTATTCAATATGACATTCAAATATTCGACGACGTTTTATCAATTAAAAATAAATACTTCCATTCATATGACAACTCGGTTAAGCCCAGCGAACTCGAAAAAAGACACCATAGATCTGTCACATCTATTCATATCTGAATGTTTTACTGACTATAGAAGATAAGGGCCAAACAGATGCATACCTTCCTTATGTAGTGATATTTCACCAATACCTGCATTTGATGTTTATGTCTCTCAACTTATTCGATACTCAAGAGCATGCTCTGAGTACGATCAATTTTTTTACCGAGCCAGACTACTGACAAATAAGTTTATATTAAAGGAATTTCAACAACCTCATTTAAATTCAGCATTACGTAAACTCTATGGTCATTATAATGAACTTGTTAGCAATACAACGTATCACTGGGTGGTATTTTGACCGACATATTTCATAAGTTAAATTAAGAGACTAATAGGAGAACATCTCCCTGACTGATTGCTTGCAAAAAATATGATAGGTAACAATAATTACCTTGGAATTCAGTCTCGAAGCAGAAAACCCCCGTTTGTTTATAAATTTTGTTTCTTGTTTATTTTTATTATTTGTACTGTTTGTAGGTTTTTTGATTTCGATCACTGTTCGTTATCTTCACCTTTTTACACGTGTATTCACTGTGTCAAGACCTATCTTTGAGTACCAAATTTTTGATCTCATGACCTTGATTTTGGAGTTTGACATTTTACTGAAAAACTTTAATCTTGGGTCGTATTTTGACTGACAAACATCATATCAATTGTTAAGCCTTTGTTTTAATACTTTCCGTCTACCTAATCAATACATAAGGTTCACGGCGGGTGTAACCAGTCGACAGGGGATGCTTACTCCTCCTAGGCACCTGTGTTTCCACCTCCGGAAATTCCATGGGGCATGTTTTATGCCCTGTTAACAGATTTTTTATGAGATCGATCACTGTTCGTTATCTTCAACAACTTTTGACATGTGTATTCATTCTGACAGGACAACCTATCTTTGGGTACCAAATTTTTTACTCCTGACCTTGACCTTGGTGTTTGACCTACTTTTGAAAAACTTGCCATAATATTTTTAATAGTTAGTGACATGACTATCATATTTCATGTGTGTTTTTCTCGTGACAAGACCTAGCTTTTGATTCCACGTTTTTGACTTCATAAAGTTGACCTTAGAGTTTGACCTATTATTGAAAGACTTTAACTTTTGCCACAACTTCTGGTTGGTGTTAGGGTTTTCAAATTTCATATTTATATTCTTTTTGACAAGGCCTTTCTTTAATTTTTTTTTACCTCATGACCTTGACCTTGGAGTTTGCTTACTTTTGAAAAACTTTAACCTTGGCGATGAGCCTCATACGGGGGCATCAGTTTTTGTTATTCTTAGCAAAAAGGTCATGGTGATTTTGGCATTAAAAAAATCATGTGAAGGGAGAAAATGATATCAAGTTAAATGAAGTTTGACGACATTGACAACTAAACATGTAACAGTACATTGACCGTTACTTTATAACCCTGGCCTCATCTCAGGACCACTACTACATTTCTACTGTAATGATTATAACACACAGTAAATATGGATCTTTTAATCAAGGGTCACAATGATTCTGCATCTTCAAAATTTAACATTTTTAACATCTCTTTCAGGTAATTTGCGATAGTATTGTCATATTGTTAATATTGTATTTACTGCCACTGGCGGGTCAATTCAAATTTTACATCCTTGAATTCATTTCACTCGTGAGTTTTAAAATTAGTTGGACGATTGAAGACAGACAGATAAGCAAACAAACGAGGATAAACCATGAGGGAACCATAAATATCTAAACCCAGAGAGAGAGAGAGAGAGAGAGAGAGAGGGGGTTCTCAACTGACAAATCGTTCTCCTTAAGCTTTCGTCACAGAGAGAACTAAGTATAAGAAGCTTTGACAGTAGACCTTAAGGCAGAAGGTAAACTTAGAATGGGGTTTACAGTTTAATACGGAATTAAGGTTTGTTTAAAAAATGAACACAACAGAGAATAACTTCTAATGAATCAATTTGAAAGCGTTCTAACTTTATGAATTTATTTTTAAAAAATCACGTTGAAAAGTGAGTCACAATTTGAGCGAAAATTATTGTTAGAATTCTTGTTATTAAAATAATATAATGTTATGGAGTTAAACATACATGTATAAATAATTTGTATTAAATGGAAGATGATCTTCAAATGATCGTCAATTTTCAAAAATTTGAATTCTAAATTAGAAATAAAAAATAAATTGTTTAAAATCATTGCAAACCTTAAAAAAAATCAAGCACTTCTTTCTTTCGTGTTTTATAGCCCCCTCAAATGTTTGTTAACATAATGAGAAAATGTCAATCGTTATTGGACGTTTGTAATAAGTATATGTATATTCTAACTGTGTTTTCTCAAATTGTTCCAATATTCAGTATTGTGTTACAGACGTTCGGTTCTTGACGCATTGTAACATGTTTCGTAGCATATGTATTTTAAGTTCATTATTTTTTGTGAGTTTTGCTGACGATGTATACGATGCAGGTGATCACAGTTTGGGTGAGTTATTTTGTAAATAAACTATTGTTTTATTGTTTGTTTATATCTAAGCGTATTCCTGAAAATTGTACATTAATATTTCTATAACGAATGATAATATACATAAAAAAAGAAGTTTAGGTCTTTTTAAGGATTAAAGTACAATCATATTTAAACGAAAAATCTAAGCATACTAATGACATACGCAGATAACGAAAAGTATTCAAGCTCCATTTAAACAATACAAATCAGGAGCAGAACAAACTCCATGGAGGAGTGAGCATCCTCTGCCGATCGGTCACATCCGCTGTGTGTTCCTTGTCATGATCGGGGAAAACGTAGACAATTCAGTGTTAAATAATGGCCTAACAATTGGTATGAAAAACGTCAGTCAGCATATGACATATTGATAGGTTGTATTTGCTGACAAGGTCATTGTATCGACCATAAAACTTGCAAAATGATGAGTTCAAACGAAACTGTTGATGTCCTTGTTTCATCAACTTGTTTGTCAATAGCTTGCCTCGTTTCAGAGAGAGAGAGAGAGAGAGAGAGAGAGAGAGAGAGAGAGAGAGAGAGAGAGAGAGAGAGAGAGGACTTTAGATCACCAAATAAGATTTAAAATGAGATCTAAATGGATTTTCGGATTATATGGAACCATAAACTATACGCTCTACACCACCATTAGCGAACTGAGTCAGGAGGTAATGTCTTTGTCGAATATATAGGTATCTGGCTCGCTTGACTGTGATGACCCATTATATATAATATGGGCCACAGCAATAAAACGAGCTTTTTCCATGTTTATTTTTTATAGAGACGGTTTTCGTAGAATTAATAAGAGAGCTATTTTCATATAATTTTTTTTTGCGAAAATTACTTAAACCAAAGATAGTTCCTGATTTTCGTATCTACTTCAAGTTTATGACATGCTCAATACTTATTGCCCTTCAAGAATATATAGGATTTTATAGATAATATATTCTGTTAGATGACACTGGTAATGTCGCACAGGAATTTGGATTGATTGATTGATTATTATTGTTTGATTATTGTTTAATTATTGTCGAGTCGGCAATATTTCAGCTATATTTCGGCGAAAACGAAGTATTTACTTAAAAAAAATCTTCTATATTTGAAAAAAGTAAAAGGTTAGCGAAGAAGCTTTTTTAGTGTCATTTTATAAGAATAGTCTACTTCCTTATATACTACATAAATATTGCATGTAGTTGAGTGTAACATTGAAAATTTTCACCCCATGCAAGAAAACCATTGTCAACCGAGGCGCAATATTTATTATATTATACTGAATGTTTTATACAAATACATATAACAGTGAACCATGCGCGCATAAATTCTGCGCAGTCACTATTTTTTTTTTTTTTGATATCACCCGTCGTCAAGCAATGTTGACTGTTGCTACGCTGGATGGGGTAGCTTCATCATTCAGCGGGTAATAGTGCTTTTTAACAAATGTTTCTCGGCGAATCATATTCGACTAATTTACATGTACATGAAAGTATAATATTAGTAATTATTACCTTGACAGAAGTATGAACAAGTATTACGAATATGTTAGATTTTTCCTTTCTTTTTTAATTCCTTTCCCAAACTCCCACCCCCTTTGATATCTGTGTGTTGGTGTAGTATCATTTCACAGGTATAGGAAGCTATAATTTGGAGACTTTTTTTTAAAGCAATCCATCTTTGTGATCCTCTCCATGATAAAGCCCTGAGCTATACTGTAATACTTTGGTTTCGTTTTTCTTTCCTTCATTATTGTGGCGGAAGATGAGTTCAAAAGATATTGCATTTTTTATGATCTTAAAGCATAATTCGCTCAAATATCATATTCTCTGATCTTTTCAAATTCTCATAATATCACTTAAAAGTAAATGTGTGGTCAAGATTTCCTGTTACCAAGAAAGAGATCCGAGTACACGTGGGTTTCTGAGACGAACAAGGAAAAATCTGTCCTAAAACACTGTCTCTAGGGAGCAGATAAAATCAGATTTTACGCATATCACAAAGTGCAATTTCATATTTAAAAGTGAATAAAGAAATGACTAATTTGAATTTAATAAATTTTTTGATTTTTCCGACAATTTTTTGTACATTTGCTAGAATGATGATTTTATCAATATATGAGGAACTGAGTTAACTGCGTCAGGTTCATTCTCTGAACATCATCTTTTCGGTTTGATTTTTCTTATATTAAACCTTGAGCAATTTTAACAATAGCATTTACAAAATCGAATAATTTGGTTCTTTTCATTTATTGAAAAAATGCATTCTATTTAAAATAAAGACATTTTCTTAGCTTAAAAAGACTCAAGAATTTATTAATAGATTTGCTTTTTTTCACGTGACGTGTTCACATTTAAAACCGTGTGATGCATCAGATACAGTAAATATAACAGGAAAATTAAAAAAAAAAAAAATAGATAAATAATCTTTTTTTAGTAAGTTGTAATTTTGAATACGATACCTGTGGATGGACAACGCCTGGGTATATGGTATACAGCGACCAAGACATTCTGGTTTGTGGTTTGAATGGAAATTCGAATGCATGCTTTCTCACTGATCAACTCCAGGATGGAGAACCTTGGAGCAGAAGACAGATTCAATCGACACCTCTTTTTGGTATGAAAACTCAGAATCGCAATATCAATTGCTTACTTTTTAATGATTATTGCTTGTTTTTTTTTTATACCAATCAAAACTTACAGCTCGCTAGTCTAATGAACTGAATATGTAGCATTGTGATCTTGCATTATGCGGTCTGGGCAGTAATATCTGATGATTGTTTTCTCACAACTCACATGTAATGTTCAATATTTTATTATTTATTTCATTATCAGCATGATTAATTAATTTTGATTGAATAACTGATGGAATAAATAGAGGAGCCTTATTCTGCAAATGACCACGCAGAATTTTTCGGCCTCTTCTCAAATGGAAAACCATCATGTAAGGATCTTGACAAGCAGTGTTTTTTTTGACGTCTTGACTGTTGACGATTTAGGTTAGCATCTTTTTCGGTCACTTTAAACTTCCAGCACAACACACTGGCACCTTTATGGTGACGATGCAATTGCCAGCAACCTGTGATTTTTTTTGTTTTGTGAATTAATGCAAAAATACAAGGAATCAAAAATTAAACTTCTTATGACCGAATAAGACAAAAGCTATTAATAAATACTGGTTTAAAGTTTTATTAGAAAGATTGCTTATTTCGATTTATTCATGTTAATTAAACAATAAAATAACCAAACTTTCTTTAGTTGTTAATATGGGAATTAATGTTGCTAACGCGCTTTATTCAATTTGTTTGCGCACACTTTAAGACTACATCATTCAAAATGATAATTTAAGGCTTAAAGAAAGCTGATTTTCTGAGAGTTGCATTAAAAAAAATAAGAAACCCATACATTGACTTAGCTCAATGGCAGAATCCTCGATTCAAATTGTCCTCTACCTCAGGCAGACAGCTTAGTTCTCGGGTCTGACAATGCGCATGTTGACTTCAAACTCAGTAAATGTATAATGTCGTTATGACTCTTTGTCTCCCCGTATGAATCTTTGATTATAATTTCTGCCTGTGGAATGAATGCCTCAAAATTCATCTAAACATGCTGCGACCCTCATGCTTAATATAGGTATTATTACATATTTTAGGGTTTCCAGACAACGTTATTCAAATGGTTCAAGAACTTGGCAACATGTCTGTACTGGGCACGATGTATTTGAATCTACCAGAAATAAGGCAACAAATGAGTGATATTGTCAGTGTAGAAATTCCTCTTTCAACCGATCACCACTGTCTCCAATACCATCACCTTGTTATAGGTAACGCAGCTTTAATTGTGGCATATATCACTGATTATTTTCAACCATTCGATCTTACGAACACACTCTGGACACATGGAGCATCACCCGTGATCGGATTTAGCAGCCACTCGGTCATTCTTCCGGTTGGAGTCAAATTTAAGGTATCGTTTTCCTGGAGTTAAAAGTAGGATAATTAAAGAATACTAGAATTTTACATTCCTAATTTGTACAATGAAAATTTACGAACACTTACTATTTTTTTTCAAAATAATAGCTTTAATAGAAAGTATTTTTTGATTGGATATATTTTGCGTCAATTTTAAAAGAATTTTCCATCGTTTCCTTCGTTTTCTTTAACAAATGGTTTTCATTTTAAAGCTTGTGTTTCGATCATTGTATGATGATTCAATTTATGGACTAGTTTTTGTCGAAAAAGTCACCATCAGTGAAGGAATTTGTAGTAAGTATGACTTTATTTTCATTTTTTTTTAAAGAATTAGTGAATGACATATAATTTATATTCCAATACATATTAATTAACTAAAGGTAAAGTGGCCTTTATTTTCATTCATAAATTACGTGCATTGCAACTACACTGTATGAGTACATAAACATGCATCTTAATATTGTTCAAAGAACTGAAAATACTGTATTCATCTCAGATTTTATCCTTCGTTTGCAAATAAACTGTAATATCAAGATTCATTTTTTTTTATTTGAGCATCTGTATTTTTTGTTAGCTGCTATTCCTTAATTTGTAATTTTTACATTATATGTTAAATGATTAAGTATGTGCTCAAATCTTTTTTTCTGCAAATTATCCCACAGAGAAGAAATACATGTATATGAAATGTCTATGACATTCATTTTATTAGAGTATTGTGGTCCGGATGAATTTCGTTGTAGTCGTGCACGAAATGAATGTATACCCTTAACCAAAGTTTGTGATTTCAAAACCGACTGTCTTTACAAGGAGGACGAACAGCTCTGTGGTAAGTACAACTCAGTATATATTGAAACATATATACATGTAATTTTAGATAGAAAATGTTTTCATTGCATATCCCCCCATCAAGATTGGCAATAAGCAAAGCCATACGAAGTATCACATTCTAATGGATCTCTGATTTTATTCCAGATTTCAAAACTCTGAATGACCTTTGCAGCCAGGGCTTAACGTCACCTTCTCCCAATATATCTTTGCAACACAACATGAAAGACAGCATTGAAACAGACGTAAACGCCCTCGATACCCGTTTGAATCCCTGTTACAATGGACAGCTTTGTTCAGGTGGCTTCTCTAATACTTGTTATCTATCGTGTCCCACTGGTTGCTCCTGTTTTGGCTTATCTTTTATTTGTACCTCTAACATCGCTCCAGTCTTCGCCACTTCTGTTACGCTAATGGGTCTAAAACAAGAGAAACTGGAATTCAGTACCTATAACTATGACAAAATCTATCGGAATCTTATAGAACTTAAGATAATTGATTGTGAATTGCAAAACTTAATAATTGTTGGGTTAGTTCCGATACAAATATTAACTATTAGCAACAGCACAATCGAGGAAGTTTACATTGAAGATGCTAATAATTACCTTCAATATTTAAATATAGTTAACAGTGATTTTGGGGAACTAAAATTTGATTTGTTGCACGGGTTTAAAATTTTAGGATTCGAATTTTATGTTCACAAAAGTTTGCTGAGAAAAATAGTTTCGACACAATATCCCAAGTTGACTGGCGTGCATGTGCACATGTCGAAGGCCATTGGTTTTCCGTACATGGTCCATCGATTTTTTAATAAAGTAGTCAATTTATCGTTTTGTGATATGCTTGATCCACCTTATTCAAGGCAAAATATCATCACACTTGATCTAAGTCACAATCTTCTGAAAACCTGGGAAATTTCACCTTTTGTTAGAATTTTACATCTTCAGCATAATTTGATTGAAACCGTAAATTTCACAGGGGATCTTTGGCATTCTCAGGCTCGTTTGATGTACCTAGATTTATCCTATAATATTATTGAAAAAATTAACAAAAAAGATCTCGACGAACTGCCAAATCTTTTATATTTAAAAATTCAAAATAATCGGTTAGTTCATGTTCATGAAAGCGCTTTTAAAACCGTTTCAAAACTTTTACATTTAGATCTGTCAAGTAATTACCTCCGTTATTTAAAACGAAGTCATTTCATTTATTTGTCAAATTTACAGTATCTTTACCTTAAAAACAATAATATAAAGGTTGTAGAAGGAATGTTTGATGGTCTTATAAATATTCAGTTACTTCAGGTAGATTCCTTTACGTTTTGCTGTGCTCAACCAAAGGCTGTGAACAAAATAAATTGTTCAGCACCGATCAACGAGATCTCTTCTTGTTATAACTTAATCGACACCCCCCTTCTGACAATCATAATATGGTATATAGCCATTTTAGCTGTGTTTGGAAATTTATTGGGACTGATTTATAGATTTTTGGTCTTGAAGGAGAAGACTATTTCACCTTTTGTCATTTATTCTATAAATCTTGGAATTGCTGACTTCCTAATGGGAGTGTATCTTTATATCATTGCTGGTGCTAACTTAGTGTTTAGTGGTAGATATGGTTTTGAGGACGACTTTTGGAGACATAGTCCTTTATGTGTATTCGCTGGTGTTGCGGCTACTCTCTCCAGTGAAGCGTCAGCTTTGTTCGTCCTTTCGATCACCATTGACAGAATTCTTATCATTCGTTTCCCTTTCTCAGGATTAAGAAACAACCACTGGGTTCCTAAAATAGTTTCCTCTTTTGTTTGGATTCTTTCTCTCCTGTTGGCATTGTTACCTTTAACCGAAAGTGAATACTTTAGCGATTATTATTCCAGTTCTGGTATATGTATTACTTTGCCATTATCTACTGTACGTAAATCGGGATGGGAATACTCTATGAGTATATTTGTCGGCGCCAATTTTCTTATTTTCATTGCCATTTTACTTGGACAAATTGTAATTTTCGTCGATGTGGTTCGAATGGGAAAAGAAGTGAGCTCTCAACGCAATATGCAAAGAAGAAGAGAAACCAATTTAGCCAAAACTTTAATTGCGGTTGCAATGACAGACATGTTTTGCTGGATTCCCATCGGAGTAATCGGTAAGACAAATGTTCTAGTCAATGAAATTCATTCCGTTTTAGAGCATTTAATTTTAATTTTTTTTTATTCTTGAGTTGTAATATCATACGGGACTGATATATTACACACACATTTTTTTTTCCAATGCTCATTGCTGGACTGACATTACTTTGGAAAACCATGCAATGCATGTAAGACAAATAACAAATAATTGCATAATCAAGTTACGTTTATGATAGTTACATTTAAGTTTATATTGATATCATGCCTTTGATACTGTATTTAGGCTTACTGAGGTTTATAGGTATTTATGTCACACCTATGGTATTTAGGTTTGCTAACATTTATGGGTATTGATGTCACGCCTAAGGTGTACGCCTGGGTTGTTGTCGTAGTTCTTCCTATAAACTCGGCTCTGAATCCAATCATCTACACATTCTCAGCAATTCTAAGGCGCAGGGGACAGCAGGTACGACTCAAATAACGGTATTGTCCAATTAAGAATGAGTTACATAGCTAATAATCTCTGTTTTGATTTGACGTATTAAAGATTTTTAGCTTAACAAGAATGTCAAAGCTCCATTAAGCTTTTTTGATCGATATAAACTTGCCCGTCGGCGTCCGTCTCTATTCTAGCGTATTTTAATTTTTACATTTTCGAGAACCAGAGGACCAATTTTAACCAAACTTGCTATGTACAACGCTTCCTGAGAAGAAGGGATTCAAATTTTTTCCAATGAAGAGCGGTGCCCTGCAAAGCATGACCCCTAAGGTTATTTGGGATTGTCTAGTTTTTCATAGAGATTTAGTGATAATAAAAAAATCTTTTTAAGACACTAAAATATATTGATATGCAAAAATTCCCCAGTCATGTGGATTCATTTTTTTTAATTTCAAATTTTGGTCTCTTGGGTTTAGCTTTGACTAAAATCGAGGATCAAATTTTATAAAATAAATTGTATATAGAGAAAAATCTTTAGAAGAATCCTCTTCTGAACAACAAGGCCATGTTACTCATTTTAAGATTCAGTATTCCCATGTATTTATGATTCAAGTTTGATTAAGTCATGATCCAATATAAGGTGAAGACTTTTCATGGGAGAAAAGCAGAAAAAATATAACATTCTGGTGAAGAATGTCAAAATGAGTCAAGTGGGCGTTGAGTCCAATGGTTTTCTTGTTCATAATTAGAACCTGTCTTCGAGACTCAGCTATTCTAGAACGACAGAAAACAAAACCGATGGATTGCATCGGGTAAGTCTTAAACTTCTCTATTAATCATCATATATATCAGTTGTTATAGATTAAAATATTTCATGTAGCAATCTCGTGGTTAAAAAGTATACAACGAGTTTTTTAATTTCTAGGTGCCGCGGTCATTAACTGAGAAAAATCCACATCAGAATACAGAAAAGGAACCACAAAAAGAACTAACAAAACGGAGAAAAAATATTACATGTATATCAGACGGACATGTTTAAGTAAAATAAAATCTATAATAAATTATGTACCAAATATGAAAATAAATAATTATATCATTTACTTTTGATATAATTTGAGTAACATATATCATGCGAGAAAGAGGGCGTACAAGGCGAGGACAATCGCCCGCTCTGAGACAATATATTTCACAATTTTCAAAGCCCATGGAAAAGCTATATTTTTGCTACAATTATGTTGTCAGTAATGTCACCTTCATTTACAACACATTTTATTCATTTATTTCATTGAATGCTTATTTAAATTGTTTTTTAAAGATGACAAGAATGTCACGAATCATCAAGCTTCAGATGGAAACTTAAAATTTTAACCCCCTGTTTTCTTTTATTGGTTGTAAAAAGTGTTTATAGTACACAACTTTTACATATATGAAAATGATGTTTGACCAACAAAACTATTATTTTTTCCCCTTATTATGTGTTGCCATGGAAACCATCGTAAGTTAAGAAAAACAGCTTCAATTTTAACTTTTTTAAAAGAATATTTTTACAAAAAGAATACAGATATCACCTACAACAGACTTTATGCTAATTATTAAAGATGTATAGTATACAAAAAAGTTTAAAAGCAAATCTAAATACCTAGGCATCTGTTGCCATGGCAACACAAATATTGTACAGTTTTACAGTTTGAAAAATTGAAAATTACCTCTCAAGTTTAAACTTATATATATAAAATCTACAACAAGCTGAACATTAAAATGAATTTGATTCTTAGACAATACAGGTTGATCTTCAAGAAGGGCATATAAAATTGAGAAGCATTTTTATTGTTTTTGTGGAAAAAAACGGTTAAATTTTATGTTTTTCCTCTTAAAAAATGTTAAAAATACACAGCAAATTTTAAGGAAAACTTTCAATTTCTTCCAAATTGATAATTGTTAATATATATTTGCTATTATACTCTTGCATTATCAATATACATACCTGAGGATGATTCCATATCAATATGACTGATCAAGGCCTTGCTGTTTTAGAGAAGCAGATTTTTTCCTATAAATCCCTATGTAAGACTTTGATTGCCCATTTTGGCCCCATCCTATCCCAAAAAGGTCAAGATTTGAACAGAACTGGATCTACACTATGTAATGAAAGTTTTACATAAGTTTCAACTCATCTGGCCAAGTGGTTCTGTTTTTTTTTAAACATGCCACTAAATTTTCACTAGGTTTTCTCCCTCTTGAAAGATTGTGTGGCCTTTCTATGAATAAACTTGGATTTCCTTTACCCAGGGATGCTATGTAACACTTTTGGTTGAAATTGGCCTAGTGGTTCTGGAGAGGAAGTCAAAAAGTTTACAATTGGACAGACAGACGAACACTGAACAAATGTGACCACTCAAGCTAACAGCTCAGGTGAGCTAAAAGGCGCAAATGAAAAAAAAACAATAATATACTTACATTATCTTATGATCCATCTTTGCCTAATATAACTGATACTGGTTTCAATAGATAATTTCTTCATTCTCTCTATGAAAGTATAAAAAAAAATTATAATAATTATAGGATTGATCTTGAAAATATGCCTGTTATTATACCGACTTTTCTGTGAATGTCAAAATGTTATGACACACATCCATTTAACTTGAAAATTGAGAAATATTGGAGGAAATAAAATACATTTAAGCAACGTTTTTTTTTTAATGGATGGTGGGAATTAAAAGTCAGTGATCACTATTGGAAGGTTTTACATGCATGGATATGTACATTATGATGCAGTATTGTACTGTGGAAACATTAATTTTATGGAGTTTTATAAATTTTAACAATGCCACACTTCTTCAACCATGAAATTAAATATTTTTTCTCAAATCTTGAAAATTTGACCCCTCAAAATTAAAAAATATATATTTTACAGTATTTCTTTTCTTCTGATCAGAGACATACATGTAAACAACAAATAAATAAATAGTGATTTATATTTCTGTTCTTATTCAATAAGTCTTGCTATTTAAACATAAATGACTGCTAATACCAGTGAATTACTGCAAAAGGCTTAATTGTCTTTTTTCTAGATGCTAGCAGCATTTTTTAAATATTCTGTTGAATCTGTAAAGCGTATAGTACATGTATCTGCATGTAGAGCTACCCTGTATAATTTACATGAAATTCTGTACTGCTGCTAACAAGAGTTTTTCTTGGCTTTTGTAGAGTAAAAAAGGAAAGAAAAATAGAAATAGATTTATAATACATTCATGCATTATCTTTTATCTGAAAACAAATCAGTTTGACACTGTCACCTTGCAAAATTAATTAATGTATTACAATTTGCAATTTCCATGTGCAAATCTGATCTACAGACTTTCATAATAAAAGTAACAGTAAAATGACCTTTGCCGAGGAAATAAGGATCCCTCTTATATTGATAAGTACGAGTATAGTAATATATCTGAAGGAATTGACTTAAGAAAGTTTTTTTCATACCCCCCCCCCTCCTGAAATTGAAAAGGTTTTTCAGGGATTTTTAAATTTCTTTTTTCTTGCATGTCAAACTTTTTATGTTTGGAATCTGTTAAAGTTAATGTAAAACACCCAACTCCCACTCCATCCACCGCAAAAAAGAGAGAAATCTTTGATCCGCAATCTGAATTTCAATGTTTGGTTTTTTTTTAAAATGCATTTATACAAATTAATGTTTCACTTTAAGAACATTTTAAACTGTTAAATAAATTTAAATCATGATTAAAAAATCTTTGATTATAACATGTACACAGATATATTAAGCATTTAAATAACAAATAGATATAGAGAAAATACATACATGTACCAGTTCGATAGGTGTCGGTTTTGATTGTCACTGCATCAGCTGTGCATTATTCATGTTATTAAAATATTCAGAGAATATAAATGTTTCTGCATACTTCTGCAAAAAGGAAAAATATTTATAAATTGAAGTAATGTGAGAGGCGTTTTTTGGATAATAAACAAAGGAAACTAATTCATTTGGATTTTACATGCATTTAGTTACCAGTTTTCTGTGAACAGATGAATGGAGAAAATTCGGATGAGGGAGAAAGTGATCGCTTTTAGCAGAGACATATGTCTCTGCTTTTAGAAATAATTTTTTTTAATTGTATTACCTGATTTGTGAAAGGGTTTTGTTGTTGACAAGATTATGAATCTTTTTCCCTCTTGAAACAACATGAATTTTCCTTGTGTCAGTGCTCCAGAACATCCAAAGGTTGCCGACATTTTTTGTTTCTATCACAGAAGAGCTTCCAAGGGAGGTAATTCATGAGAATAAAAGATGGGAAAATACCCATCAGTATGATAAAAAAATCCTTTCAATTTAAGCCCACTTAAGAATGCTTCTCAATTTTAATTTTGATATATACAGTAATAATGTTCACCTTTTTAAGAATAGCATCAGTTATTTATTTTCTTATTGTAGATTTGAGAATTCAGTCACCGAAACAGGGTCAAAAATAGGCTAAGTGCATGTATAAAAACTAATAGAAATTTAAAAGTTTTTGTTCACATGCAGACAAAATATAAAAATACTAGTTTCTTAAAAATAGTTTTAATTAGTTTTATTAATATTTATTGATTTTTTATTTGTTTTACTATGCAAAAGTACTGCAAATTGACTGAATCAAAATTTTTCTAAAGCGTGTATTTTACTTACTTTGATATATGGTTACTATGGAAACGAGTTGGCTAATCATTGTAAAATTTTACCACAAATGATAAAACTGTTAAAGAAGTTTATTAACGCAAAAATCCCGAAATTTTTAAATTTTATAGTTTCCATCAATATACACTGAGTAAGCTTGATGATTCGTGACATTCTCTCTTAAGCATATTTTGTCGAAAATATGTATATTGGAGCCATAAAAAAAAATGATTTTTGACACGGAATGGGTGAAGTCTCCATTCTATATTAACGTTGAATGACGGAAAAGTAAATGCAAAATCTATTTTGTTTCAAAAAAAATGGACCCAGTCTTACGGCCAACCGTTAGCCTTTGGAAGAGCTCGAATCATGT